TTGCTCATTGTTCAGGTACTTATTTTTTGTTACTCCCTACCTTTGTTTCATACTATTTGTAACGATTTAATATAGGTGTGAGAGAAATTTTTAATTGTGGTAATTAATATGAAACGGATAATGTACTACTTTTTAGTACTTCACTAGATGAAGTCCGTGTGATGCACGGTTTGTTTGAATTCTTTAAAATAATATTTTTACATATATATTTATGTGCTAAAAATTGTTAAATATTTACATAAAATTCCTAATATTAAAAGATAATATTTTATATTTAATTAATTTAAACTGGATAATCTCATTCGCTAATTTTGCTTACGTGTCAGTTAATTATTTAATTCTGAAAGAAATTAATAATCTCGTATTTAATTGGCTACCACTAAAATTTATTATCCTACGTGGCGCGATGAAAAAATTAAATCCTACGTGGCTTTCTAAAAACTCGTGAAAAATCTCCCCTTTATATATATATATTTTAGATTAGGAAGTATTAAGTTATGCGGCATACATTAACAAAGGTTGATGAATGATGTATAAATTCCGTTAATTATAGTGAACACGGTAATTACTATTGATTATCTTTGGTATGTAATGTTAAGATTACGTATGTTTTCTTCAAATAAAAAAATATATACTATCTTCTAGTTTAATTCTTTGATAATATGCTAACATACGACATACTCTTTGGTGTATAGGTAACCCGTCTTAGATGTGGTGGATTCATAGTAGCCATTCGAGGAAACCATGTCATTGCCGATGGCACAGGTGTAATGCAACTAATGAACGCGGTAGGCGAGCTAGCGAGAGGCTTCACCACCCCATCCGTCCCCCCAGTTTGGGATCGCGAACGCTTAACCGCGAAAGAACCCACGAATGTCACCTTCCCTCACCCCGAGTACGACCAACACGAAGAAGTCGATCACCATCATTCCGATCATGATCAAGCAGCCAACCTTGTCCAACAATCGTTCCTCTTCGGACCAACCGAGCTTGCAGCCCTACGACGCAATGTCCCTCCACACATCAAACAATTCTCCTCTTTCAACATCCTCAGTGCCTCCCTATGGCGTTGTCGTACCATTGCACTTGGACTAGACCCCGAGGAAGAGGTCCGTCTACTGTTCGCTGTCAATGCAAGGAACAAGTTTAACCCGCCCTTAGCGAAAGGATACTACGGAAATGCGTGTGCATTTCCAGCAGTTTGCGCTAGGGCAGGCGATATATGCAACAATGACATGGCATATATATTGGACCTCATTAGGTCTACCAAAAAAGAAGTGAATGAGGAATATATGAGATCTATTATGAACCTTATGGTAACAAATGATAGGCCTGAATTTTCTGTACGTCAAACATACGTGGTGTCCGACCTTAGGCATTTAGGGTTTGCAGACGTGGATTTTGGGTGGGGAAAACCCGTTTACGGAGGGCCGGCTAGTAACGGGTCAGTACCGGATGCAAGCTTCTTTATTACCTTTAAGAACAAGAAAGGTGATAATATGATTATGGTGCCCATTTCCTTGCCTCCTACGGCAATGGATGTTTTTATTAAGGAGCTACGAGGTATGATTGACATTTACCCCTCAACATTCAACCATTTTTAGAATTTAGGCATTAGAGTGTTATGCAAATTTATTTAAATTCTTTTAATGATTTATTGTAATTGAATTGGAATAACTGTATTGTAATACACAAAGTATAATTGAAAGAAATCCTCGAAAGTTCTGGGATTCTACTCTTTTTGTTTCTCTACTTTATGCTTGAATTATACAGTGAAAGCTTAGAGTCTAATTTTATTTTTATAAAAAAAAAATTAAAAAAAATTGAAAAAGGCTATTACTCATCTGTTTCATTTTGTTAGTCTCATATACTATTTTAGACATATACCCATATGGAATATATTTCTTCTTTAATTATATTTTCATAATTCATGAATAATTAATCTATCTAATTGGGTATTTAAATACTCAAATAATTCTGACTGATTAATATATGTGCTAGTGGATTGTTGATATGGCAAATTTTTCCAAATCAAGATTAATTATTGGATTTGCTTGATTACAGCCAAATCCCATAAATAAAACAGTAAAACACAAAATATTAATTTCAAAGCTGCAATCAAATGTCAGATTATTAAGATTTCTCCTTTTTTTTAGTGATTGATTTTAAAGGGGACCAAAAAGTAAAACAGATGGAGTATTATAAAATAATTGTAGGCCAATTTCTATTCATCTTATCTTTGCTGAATTAAAATTATTTTGACTAAACTAAAATTATGTTTACTAATTAAAACTTATTAAAAATGATTCTCTATCATATTTATTATTTTAAGTTAATAATTTTTATGGATTTTATTTTTTTTACTGAAATTGAATTTAAATTTTGTTTGACTACAATTATATTTATCAAACTGAAATTATTTTTACTAAACTGAATTTATTTTAACTAAAATGAAATTATTTTTATTACATATTATTATTTTCAGGTGACGAAGAAAACAAGACCTTAATTAGTTTTTCATCCTTAGGTGCACTATTTGCACTTTAAATACAAGTATGTTTTTTAAATTTATATACACTTCCTCTTTTTCATACTTGTTATCTTCTCACTTAAAAAATCTTTTTGTGAGACAAAATTTGTCAAAGTCAAAAAATCAATATGAAACAAAGAGAGTATTAAAAATGAGTATTAAAAATGTTATATTGAGTTGTACTTACTAAAAGTTAATTATCTATGCTACATTAAAATAATATTACTAAAATAATGTTATTTTTTTTAACTTAAAATTTAATTTTTTTTAATAATTAAAATCTATTTTTATTGACTTGCTATTATATTTTCATGTTTTCAAATTATTTATTTTACTAGGGGAGTCTACACGCGTGTTGCGCGCGGTACACCTAACCATCGTGGGAAAGCTATGCATTTGAACCTTGGGAAACGGTCCATGCATTCCTTACCTGACTGTTGGTATCTCACACCTCCATTCCCATGTCATCTATTACAACCACACTAAGGCCAACACTAATATCCTTATATTTTTATAAAGTGTAGCATCAACATCAATCTTTAACATACCTAACTCTGTAGAATGCTCAAAATCTCATAGAGAGATGAGAGAGGAAATCTTAATAAGTAATCGTGGATGAAAATTTTAACTGAAGTTATTGATTACGAATTATAGTTTAATTTTTAGAGGAGAATTGAATTGGAAGCTAGTAGGCTACGTACTAAAGTCTAAAGAAGGGAAAAGACTGAGGCATTGAATTTGAAGGGAAGAATTATGGATATTGTAAATTTAAGGTTGAATTAAACATCAATTTAGAAATTAATAGTTGTAAAGAGAGCGGAAGAATCACCTCAATGAGATAGAAGATGAACTATGCAAAAGTCTATAACAATAATTTTTTATTTGGAAAAATTAAAAATAATAATCTCAATTTTGATGAATTTTGTTAGAATAATTCCAACTTTGAATTATTCTGGAATAATCCGAACTTTATGAGTTTGTCTTTTTCTTCAATCCCAAAAACTGGTGACCGGTTGAATGGGTTAAATTTTTTTTTTTTTTAAAAAGTGACACGTTTCATAAGTGAATTGGCTAAAACAATATATAAAAAAAAAAACCCAAAATCCCAGCCACCAGCCAACCCCAAAAACCACCAGCCTAATCCCAAAAACAACCAATCAAACCCTGGCCTAAACAGCGACGCTAATTCCCCTCCCTAGCGCCGATTTCCCCTGCCCCCTCCCCCTGCGTCGATTTTCCTCTCCCCACTTGCCGGTTCATCTTTTCCCCCAATCTCCTCCACTCGAAAATCGCCACATAAAACCATATCTCAGCTCCCACTCCCGAAAACCCCAAAATCTCCTCCCCACCGTCAAAAACCCTAATTACTTAGGGTTTTGAGGTGGTGGGAGGAGCAATTTGGGGTTTTTGGCAGTGGGGAGGGGTTTCATTGGTGGATTTGAAGTTTCATGGTGGTGGTTTCGGGGTTGTGGTTTTGTGGGGAATGGGGGGTGTTTCGGGGAAGGAGGAAGGCGGCGACACAGCGGAGGTTGTTTCGCGCGTCTCTCGCCGAGAAAGAGGCGGAAGGTTTGGTGGTAAGAATGGTCTGGTGGGGGGAGGGGAGGCTAACTAGAGGTTTGGTGATTTTTTGTTTTTTTTTAAAAAAAAAAAATAATACCTCCTTCGTTTCATAATGATGTTCCCGTTTCGTAAATCAATGCAATTTTTTACGCATCTTTGACCGCAAATATCTTTAATCTCACAGTAGCAATTATAAAAATTAGATATTAATAATCTATTCGCCAAGACGGATCAAACTAGATCCCACATGACTATATTTGCTCTTATAGATTAAGAGAAATTTAGAAGATTATCTCTTTTATAAAAAAATTCAAGGATTCCAAACAAAAACATCATTGTGGAATAGATGGAGCAATTTTTTTGGACCAATTAGGGCTTGACACGTGTCAAATGACCTGATATAGTAGGTCATTGTCTTTTGTAGAACGGTTAGGGATTGAAGAAAAAGAAGAACCCCCAATGTTCGGATTATTCCAGAATAATCTAAAGTTGGGATTATTCTAGTAAAATTCATTAAAATTGAGATTATTATTTCTAATTTGTTCTATTTAATTTGTGTAATAATATACAATTACTACGTACGTAGCTTTATAAATTTTTAATTATAATTTTTTTAATTGTTGACTAATTAATTACTTACCTTTGTTTGATGTTGAATTAAAAAGATAATAGTGCGCACGTGGCACATTAGGTTGGAATAATAAACATGTGGCACATTGGATTGAAATAATAAACACTTGGCACATTGAATTGTAAAAGAGAACATAGGAAGGAGACATGTGTGTATCATGGTTTGAGTTTTTAAATACCAAGTATAGATTTTTATTTCTTTCAACCATATTGTTTGAGTTATTTAAAATTTTTAATACAATTACAAGAAATCTTTACAAGGATGTAAATAAATTTGGTCAACAATTGAAAAATTAAGAACCAAAATACTTGAAAGCACCTTGCAAATTTGCAATACTTAAATTCTAAAAATGGTTGAATGTTGAGGGGTAGATCAAAAGTCAATCATAGCTCGTAGTTCCTTAACAAAAACATCCATTATCGTAGGGGGCAAGGAAATGGGCACCATAATCATAGCCTCTCCTTTCTTGTTCTTAAAGGTAATAAAGAAGCTTGCATCTGGTACTGACCCGTTACTAGCTGGCCCTCCGTAAATGGGTTTTCCCCAACCAAAATCCACATCTGCAAACCCTAAATGTCTTAGGTCGGACACCACGTATGTTTGACGTACCGTAAATGCTGGCCTATCATTTTTTATCATAAGGTTCATAATTGACCTCATGTATTCCTCATTCACTTCTTTTTTGGTAGACCTAATGAGGTCCAATATATATTCTACGCTATTGTGACATATATCACTTGCCCTAGCGCAAACTGCCGGAAATGCACACGCATTTTCGTAGTATCCCTTCGCTAAGGGCGGGTTAAACTTGTTCCTTGCATTAACAGCGAACAGTAGACGGACCTCTTCCTCGGGGGCTAGACCAAGTGCTATGGTACGACACCGCCAAAGGGAGGCGCTAAGGATGTCGAAAGTGGAGAATTGTTCAATATAAGGAGGGACATGGCAGCGTAGGGCAGCAAGCTCGGATGGTCCAAAGAGGAAGGATTGTTGGACAAGGTTGGCTTGATCATTATCGGAGTGATGTTGATCGACTTCTTCGTGTTGGTCATACTCGGGGTGAGAAAAGGTGACATTTGTGGATTCTTTCGTGGTTAAGCGTTCACGATCCCAAACTGGGGGGATGGATAGGGTGGTGAAGCCTCTCCCTAGTTCGCCTACCGCGTTCATTAGTTGCATTACACCTGTGCCATCGGCGATAACATGGTTTCCTCGAATGGCCACTATGAATCCACCACATCTAAGACGGGTTACCTGTATATGATAATTCATAAAATAAAAAGGAAATTTTGACAATTACCACCTTCTATTTAGTCCATTTTAGCAATTACCACCTTCTATTTTTTTTTTTTTAAATTACCACCTTCTATTTTCAAAAACATCAAAAGTTACCACCTTCTTGCCTCCCAACTACCACATGACGCCATTTTTGGCTCATTCTTTCCCTTTCCTCGCTATTTCCCTCACATTTCTCATTCCTAACTCGATTCTCATCCCCCTTTCACTTTTTTTCCCCAAACAATCAAAAACACTTCAATTCACTCCTCCAAATCAAAATTGACGAACAATTATTGGTGGTTTGGGGGAAAAAGTGAAAGGGGAGATGAGAATCCAAATAAGAATGAGAAATGTGAGGGAAATAGGGAGGGAAGGAAAAGAATGGGCCCAAAATGACGTCATGTGGTAGTTGGGGGGCAAGAAGGTGATAACTTTTGATGTTTTTGATAGTAGAAGGTGGTAATTTTCAAAAAAAAAAAACAAGGTGGTAATTGCTAAAATGGACATAATAGAAGGTGGTAATTGTCAAAATTTCCAAATAAAAATTAGTGATTTCTCTTCAAATCTAACTAGGTTAAGTCCCATGTTATGCACGGTTATAATTAAACTTTACAACAAAATTTATAAAGAATGGTTTTCAATTATTTTTTATTTTTATTTTTGAGGGGAATAAAGAATGGTTGCTAATTTAACAATTTATCAAAAAAAGAATATTTGTGACAAAATAACTTGAATTTTAATTTATACCAAATGCGTAAAGGTTATTGTTTTGAATTTTATAAAAAATAATTTATTAATAGAAATTAAGAAACTATTGGGTTTTATATAAGAAAACGAAAATATAAGCTTAGGTTAGTACCCGTATATGTCTTCAAAAAACAGGAAAAAAAATAAAAAGTTAGTACCCGTATACGAACTCATATACATTTGTCCTTATATTTTTGTTGACACACTTTGACCGGCATTAAATGAATATTTAGTTGATTTATATTACTTTAGGATAATTAGTATTCCATAATCAACTTTTTTTAAATGTATTTATAGTGAGTAGTAGTGGTTTTTATTTTAATTTTAATAATCACATTGCATAACGATTAATGTCAAATGATTAATGTTGGAGCTTGGAGGAAAAAATTGATACTCCTTAATATTTAATACCTTATTTTTAATCTATGTTTGTATACTTGTAACTAAAAGATTAATAGTATATAGAATATATGTTAAAAAAAATATTAATTGAGTATGAATGGATTAGATATGTTGTCAAAATAGAAATAAGTATTATTGTAGCTTATAAAATGGAAGTCATTAAAATTTGGTAAAAAAAAAAAAAAGGAAAGTGCAAAAAGGAGGGAAAATTATTAATGACATCGTGACAAATGTCATCTTAGGTTCGCTTTTAGTATAGGTTAATTGATGATATCTTGAATAGTCAAAGTAGTTTTGATATCAACCCAACAACGTATTCTTATGGTATTTGCGGACAGTTTTTATTTGACTATAATAAAATTGGCCATTGTATGTAAGTGAATCTTAACCCTCTAATTGATAAAGTTCATCAAATCCATCAATTTAGCTAACTTTAAAATACACCTTATAAAAAAAATACAAGATTTTTTGTCAAAAACTACCTAATATAACCCAAATTTTGTGAAAAACTACCTGTTAAAAAGAATGTTGTAGTTAAGAAACTACCTAATTGAAGGTCAGAGGTTGTAAGAAACTACCCATTTAAAGGTAAAATGTTGTAAAATACTACCTCTACCGGATTTCCACGGTTGACCCACCTCAAAACACCCAAAAAACCACCACTTTCATCTCCAAAACCAACACAATTAATTGCTTGAAATTGCCTCCACCATGCCGAATTCACCCTCCAACCGCCGAAACCACCACCTCTAACCCCAAAATCCAAAATCCAACATCCTGAATCACGAAACTACCCTCACCAATTCAGAATATCCTCCCACCATCTCAAAAATAACCTTGCCACCTTGAAAATCAACCCCCCACAGTGGTTTTTGAGGGTGTTTTGAGGTGGTCAACGCCATAAAATTAGGTCAATGGTAAAAATTTGATTAAAGGTAGTATCCTACAATTTTTTTACCTTTTATTACTTAGTTTCTTACAACATTTTTTATTCGGTAGTTTCTTACAAAATTTAGGTTTGATTAGATAGCTTCTGACAAAAAAACCCAAAAATAAATATTATTAAATGAGATTAAAAAAAATCAACCTTTTTAATACACTAGAGAATTTGATACAAAACCTATGGACCTTGTAATGTACAATGCCATGAACTACCAGGTTTATTGTTAATAAACTATAATCAAATGTTGGTATTTAATGAGATGGGAGAATCCTTTGAACTTAGAAATTGCAAGTATATGCGCTAATGGTAATTAGTTTAGTCTAATCTTTTGTTTAGAAACTGAAATATTTTTTTTTTAGGAAATTTTGACAATTATTACCTACTATTCTTTCCATTTTAGCAATTACCGTATGCTATTATTTTTTTTTGAAAATTATCACCTACTCTTTTATAAAACATCAAAAATTCTCACCTAGTTTCCTCCCAACCATCTTATGACATCATGTGGGCCTCATTTTTTTTACCTTCCTTCTTCTTTTCCCTCCCTTTTCTCATTTCTCACTCGATTTTCATCTCCTTTAACTCATTTTTTCACTCAAAAAATAACCACCTAGTTGGGCCCCAATTTATTTTTTCGCTCAAAAAATGTGTCAAGGGAGATAAAAATCGAGTGAGAAATGAGAAAAGGGAGGTAAAAGAAGAGGGAAGGTAAAAAGTGGGGTCCACATGACGTCATAAGGTAGTGGATTATTTTACAGTAGTCGTTTGAAAAATTACTACCATATTATTTTAATAGTATATAATCTAATTGGTTTAAATTTTTCACCTTATATCTACTATGCATACATATTTATTGAAAATTTTAATCTAATATAATAATAATTTTTTTCAAGAAACTATAAAATAAGAATAAAAATTACATAAATGTTGCTAAAAATTTGATAAATCCAAAAAATGTTGATAATACTATTTTATACCTAAAATTAAGTAAAATAATTAATTATCTGGAAAAAAATATATCAATTATAAACTTTATAATCATGAAAACATTATGGTAGTCATATTTCAAATGACTACTGTAAAATTTTCATAAGGTAGTTGGGAGGCAAATAGGTGGGAATTTTTTATGTTTTATAAAAGAGTAGGTGGTAATTTTTTTTAAAAGAAAATAATAGCATGTGGTAATTGCTAAATTGGAAAGAATAATAGGTGGTAATTATCAAATTTTCTTTTTTTTTTATTAAAAATTAAATTGAATAGGATACATGTACAAGATTGATCATATCATTAAAAATAGGAAAATTTATCTGAGACAACCATTTAAAAGACATTTTTTGTCTAGGACAACCTTTGAAAAGTTTTTTGGCAAAGTCAGACCCGTTAAATTTTTTTTTGTTAAAGACGACCAACCCCCACTTTCAGGCCATTGACCACCAGAATCCGGCATTGACTTGCACACGGATACCCCTATCGAACCTCCTTATATTTTTTTTTATTTTTTTTTTTGCAAATCAATATTTTTTTTTGCAAAACCATACCTTTATGCCGGAAAATGGGGTTAGACACTTTTTTCGAAGTTAACTACCCTAATCCACCCACAAAACCATCTCCCTCCCTAGCCCATCCACAAAAAATCACCCTTTCACAACATCACCACGTACCCCTTTAACGATGTTGACCACCCTAAACCCTCCTCTATAGCCCTAGCTACCTACCCTTTTCCCGTCCATTGTCAGCGCCGACACCACTAGATGCGCTCCCCAAACCCTAAATTAACACTCGCACCACCCTAAACCCAGATTTCGCGGGGTGGTGGAAAGAAGAGAGTTCGATTTCGTTGGTGGAGATGAGGAGGGGAGGCGGTTTCGTGGTTGGAACTAAGGGGATGATTTTGTGAATAAGGCTAGTGGGGAGGGGCGGTTTCATGGGTGGGTTTGGGATAGTCAATGCTGGAAAATGGGGTTCCGGCATAAAGGTATTATTTTGCAAAAAAAAAAATAATTAAAGTATGTTTGACTCCACTTTCCGGCATAAAGGTATAGTTTTGAAAAAAAATTATTAAAGGTGTGCAAAATTTCTTTTTTTAAATATAAATATATTTACTATATGTAGGGCGGTTTGTGTAAAAGCTGTCACATCAAATGACATGAGCCACAAAGCCCACATTGATTAAGAGTAGTACTTGGATGAGTGACCTCCTTAAAAGGCCTTATGTTGGTTCATGACTTCATGTAGCTAAGTTCAAGCAAGTTTTTTATTTTTTTTTATTTTTTTTTTATTTTTATTATTATTTTTTGTTTACGTACGAAAATGAAAATATGGGCATGCATAACTTAATTAATGAAGTACTGAATATATTAACCGAAAACAAGTACCTGTGCAATGAGCAAGGGAGTGCCAAGGATTCCATTTGTACCAGGAATGTCATAAAGCAAATCTTCCAAAGGAAATGGAGGATGAATTTCATCTCCGAAATCCTCTAGCGTTGCATCTGCCTCAGCCTCGATAAAGGGCACGCCTTCACCATTGCAATCGACAATGAGCTTCCTCTTAGGCCCTTCTACTAGCCGTCCAGCATAGGGGTAGAAAAACACAAGAGCCTTAGCCAGAGCATCCTTGATTACTTTCACCGGGTCTTTCCCCTCCATGGAAGGGTCAAACCGGTAAAACATTATGCCTGGCATTTGAAACCGAAGACCCTCTTGGTCATCGATATCTGAGAGTGGTTTTAGCTCTTGTGGTGTTGGCTCAGCCGGGCACACTAGCTCTCGCTCCCCTCGTGCAACGTTTAACACTAGGGGAGTCGTGTCTTGTGCCATAAGAGCCATAATAAATGGTTGTGTAGTGTATGAAGATTATTTAGCTAGCTGTATAAAATAAGAGTACAAACTAAGTTATTACGGAGTATGAATTTTGATGGTGTTAGATAAATGCATGGGTTCACGTCTATTTATAGATGTAGGAAGTGCATTGTTTAATATTTCCTCTGTTTTTTTTTTTTTTGGGTTTTTCTAAGCTATGCCCCTAAGGTAGTCGAGTTTCTAAGGTGTACTCATGCTTTTTCAAATTTCTTAGTTGTGCCCCTCAACTCACTACCATTAATGAATGGTACCCTCCTTGGGACTTCCACGTCACCTAAAGTTAACTATAAATTTAATAAAAAGATGATAAAATGTAAGAAAATGATACGAGAAAGAAATATTAACCACAACAACCCTATTAATGAAAACTAAAGCCACGAAATCACCACTCAATTACCTTTTAAATAACTAATAAGGGTACATTTTCACGCATGTCGATGCATGTTTTCAATCGTTAATTTGTTTAATTACCAATATGTATTAATTATAAACATTAGATATTAAAAATGTATAAGTCGAGACGCATCAAATAAGATCTCACATGACTATATTTTTATTTAAGTATAAATCATTCAACTTAATTAAAGTGAAACACGTAAGTGTAAAAACACATAAATAGTGTAAAAGTCAAACTGTTACAACTTTTAAAAATAAAAAAAAAAATAAAAAATAAAAACTGAGGAAGTATATATATTTTTTTTTTGGTGTTTAGTGAGCCAAGCAGGGGTGAGATTCAATCCCAAGATCTCTTGGAACCGGAAGGAAAGCTCTAACCACTTGACTTATCCCTCACTCTCTGAGGAAGTATATATTACATCAACGAAAGTAAAGTAATTGGCTTAATTACATTTGGATTAGTTTTAAGATTAGGTTAGTGTTTTAGGCCACGTGAACGCTGAACAATACTAGCTATCTATTTTGTTAGTAGATAATTAACAAAGATGGGTGGAATTGAGCTTTCATGTGCGTGGCTGCGGGAATATGCGGTGATGTATATCATCAAAGTTGTGTGGGTGCAATTCATATAAAAAGACCAACAAAAATTAATAATATTGCAAGTTGCTTGCATACAATTTATCCGTATTAACCAGAGAAAAAAAAAATTAAAAACTATGGGAATGTCAAAAGAAAAGTCAAGTTGAACCAACAAATGTAAATTAGAAAATCTTAATTTAAAGCAATATATGTACCATATGGGTGTAATCAATTTTTATTTTATTTTTTTATTTTTTTGACAAAACAATTTTTATTTTATTTTGAATAGGATTAGAGAGTTGTAATCTATTTTATATCTCTAACCTATATGAATCATATGATAAAGACTCACCACCATATCTTGACAATTTTTTAATTCTTGGAAATTTTGTCAAATATAAACGATCAATTAGCTCTAAATGAGTCAACCTTTTAATTAACTTAAAACAAGTTAACCTTTATAAGGTATTTTCTTTAAATGAGGTTTTACATTTTTTCTTTATGAAAACAGTTTTTACATGTTAAAAACCCGTTAAATAAGGTAATATGACACGCGTCATAATTTTATTAGTCTAGCATATAAAATTCTAATTTAAACTTTTTAAACTTAATTTTAGAAAAAAATAAAAATAAATAACACCTTCTCTCTCCTCCCCTTCACCGCCCCTTTCTCTCTCCTCCTTAATTAAACCATCATTAACAACACCTCATTCCCATCACCCCTTCCACCTTCAATACACCCAAAACACCTCCGATCTAACCTACACCTGCATAGACGCATAGCTAATCCTAACAACCCATGCGCTTCCTCCTCCTCTTTATACCCCTACTTCCTTACTCAAGGGTGGCTGCGGTGGCGCCTTTGCTGGAAGGAGGGAAAAGATGCGAGCTGAGGTGGAAGCTAAGAAAGTAAGAGTGGTGGAGGGAAAATGGTGAAGGGGGAAAGTGTTGCAGTGGAGGTGCACTGCTGGTGAAATATGGCGGCAACCGGGGTAGTAGGGATATTTCTACAGTGTCATTTTTCAATAAATGACACCACAACATAATGATGTGTCAAGTTATAATTGGCTGATTTTTAATTTATTTTTAAAAGGCTAAATGTATTATACATGTATATATGCTTGTAAATACATGTATTTATATAAAGAATACATTAATGGCCAATTAAATACATGTATATATGCTTGTAAATACATGTATTTTAAATAATCATTTCCAAAACTTAAATTATAATTAAAATTATGAAAATCAAACTTTGAAAAAAAAACTGCAAATCAAATACTCCCGTATTCAGTGTTCTTCAATTGACAATGGTGTTCATCACGTTAATGGCCAATTTTTTTTATGATATCTCTCCTGGGCAATTAGGTGCAGCGATTAGATTGCAAATTCCGGCGAATCTTCCGGCGCACGTAGATCAAGCGAAGGTTCAAGGCGACGGCTCTAGGTTCCGACGAATTTTCAAGCGGTTTTAGGCGTATTTTGGGTGCATTTTTGGTGCTTTTATATGGGTCTTTCTGAGTGGGTTTCTTGATTGGTTTTGGGGTGGGTTTCTGGTACCGTTTTGGTCAATTTTAGGAAGGTTTCAGACGAATTTCTCAGGAATGATATGGTTAGTTTTCTGGCGGTTTTCAGGCAATTTTTCCGACAGTCATTCTTCATCTTCGGCAACATATCCATGATCCTATTTTTAATTATAAGTATATTTTCGAAACTTTATCAATATTATAAAATAGATTTTCATAATTTATGAAATGATTGATGAACGATGATGAATGATGGATGATGAACAATGAACGATGATGCATGAACGATATGATGAACGATGATAAACGATGAACGATGATGAACAATTTTGACTTAGATGGGAATTTAATTTTATGATTTCTAATTATAATTATAAATTCGAAAATTAATTTTAATTATAAAACTAGATTTTCATAATTTATAATTATATATTTCTAACAAAAATACATGTATGAAAAAGTACAAAAAAAAATACAATTTTAATACATTTTGGACATTAAAAATAATTCAAAATGAAAAAAATACAAAATACAAACCAATCAAATTTTGCCACATTGGCAAGTTGTGGTGTCATTTTTAAAGAATGACATTGTAGAATCTTTAGGGGTGGTAGTGGATAGGTAGATGACGACAATAGAAGGTGAAGTATTCTTTTTGGAAAAAAATAAATTAAATTTACTTGTTGGACAGGTTGTAGGTCGTCATTTGGCCTAATTAAAAATGATGTCTTATAAAGACCAACTCATTCTTAAATAATCAATAGATTGACTTATTTTAAGATAACCGTGCAAAGATTGGCTTATTTTTGATAAATTTTCCTTTATTTTTTAAATAGAAAAAATTAGTTTTATTAATCTCAAATTTGAACCATTTACTATGAATAATGGTGGCTTCGAGCTTCATCCTGTTTTTAGGTTGACGAGTGAAGACTCCCAGAGATCTTCCTTCCTTAGCTAGAAACAATACAATATTGACTTTCTTTCCTTAAGCTTCGCATATAAGACATAGTGCCCGAGCCTTTATTAAGACGGGCGCCCGTTCCCACCGCGCTCACGGCCCGGATGGCCTGCCAGCGGTAGTGGGAATTATCCCGTTCCCTGGTCAAAGACTTAGGCAGCCAGAACGACAGGCCTTTGACTTTCTTACTTCAGACAACAAGCGAGCGTACCTTTGTTCTCTTCTTCTCCACCAAGCACGATTTTAAGGAGCTTTGCCAACTTCTTGGGTTGCGGGCGGAAAAAGCGGACGTGGGGACTCGGGTCGGAGCGCAGCGTAACTAAAAGAGCGTTGAAAGTACGTCAAAACCTCAATTGCACAGGTAAGAAAAATACAAGAACCGGGCGTAAAACCTAGCTCAAAGCACCAAAGCCCCAAAAGGGCCTCGGAGAGCTCTACCGCCCACCTGAGCAGCCTACCCGGCGTGTCCAACTTCTCCCTGTCGATAACTTCGTACCAAGGTTGAGGGGCATTTTCTTTCAACAAGACATATGACCAATCAATGACGACCCTTGCTCGATATCCCACACTAAATAACTCCCCCCTTCCCCACCCGATAAAACACCACCCGAATCGAAATTAAAAACATAGTACAATATAAGACTGGTGGAGAGATTGAGAGATAAACAAGTGGGATTTATTTAATTTGTTAGGTGTGGTCTGTAGTGGTTTAGCAAATTTTATTTATTTTTTGGATCAATCAAGGCTTGCACGTGTCAAGTATTCTGTTATAATTCTTATAATAGATTGTTGTCTTTTGTTCACCGATCATGACCTGATAGAAGAAAACACCCTCAAAGTTGGGATTATTAGTATATAATCGATAGTTGAGATTAATAAAAGTAATTGGGTTCAGAGTTGGAAAGACTTGCGTGGACCTGGTCCACAATAATGTTATTGTGGACCCGAGATTTATACACACGCAACTGACATTATACTGAACATAGTGACCCTTAGTTTTTACATATAGTAACCTTATTTTTAACATAGTAACCTTTATTAAAACTAGTATAACGTTTAATGTTATTGTGAACTTAAAGTTCAACGTTATGACCCTAATTTTAATAGTGACCTTTATTAGTCATATTAACCAGTATATAAAATATTTCATTAAAATAATTAACCTCTTATAGCCTATATATTACCAAAATGGCTTTTATTTCAACGTAGAGACCTTTTTCTGTTATAGTGACCCTTTTTTTTTTACTAATAAAACAACCATAATTTTCCTAATGTTAGTGGTCCACAATAAATTAGTGTAAACCAGGTCCATTTAAGAATTTGTATGGGAATAATAATACCAATTTTTCCTTTAAATACTCTCTTCATTTTGAATTGTGTATCTCATTTAAAATTTTTAGAGATATAATTTGTTAGGTTAGATGAACTACTCCGAGAGGAGGGGTGAATAGTAGTAGGTTCCAATTGTTAAACTTATGCAGAATTTAAAAACAAAACATAAAAGGAACATAAAGAACACAGCAAGATTTTACGAGCTCGCACTACTAGAAATAGGCCTATTTCATATGGATTGGTTCCAACGGACACCTAATTCCGTCGGAAACATAGGAAATTTCGACGGATTTTTATTCCGTCGGATATTTACGACGGATTTTAAGCTCCTTCGAAAATCCATCGAAAATTTCCGACGGTATATAAGTCCGTCAGAATATATGGGCTTTCAGACGGAATTTTTCGTCGGAAATGTAATTTTCCGACGAAATTAAAATACATTGGAATATATTTTTTTAAAAAAATTCAAACCCTAATATTCAGCCCCCCTTTTATTTCACCCTCAACCGTTTTTTTCACTTCCCCCTTTTCGTTCATTCTCTCTCTTTTCTTCTGATGTTTCTTTCTCTTCTTTCCTCTCCTTC